TTTTTTGGTCCTAAAAGTTTCCATGTCACATAATTATGATGATATAATGTTTTTTTTTATTTTATTTTTTTATCCAGTTTATCTTTGATTTGGATATAAATATATTATAATAATTGTTAATTATTATGACAATCAATAACATTTTGTGGTACATACACTAAGGTATTTAGTGACCATAGACATGTAACTGAGAGCAATTAGGCACTTTAATTAACTTAAATTTCCAAATACATGTAACCCTATGGCTTTTTTTAAAATGTTTATAAACTTTCATGACCCTTTATCAGAATGTGAGACAGTAGTGATTGTGTTTTATAGCTTTTAAAGCCTTTTTGTTGTTTTCTACCTCATGAAACTGTAAAAGATTCTTTGTTAGGATCAGAAGGGAGGCAGACAGGTGGATCAACAGAAAGCATGTATATCCTCCGGTCATGCAGTTCACATGTAGCACTTCACTTATTGTAACCTGTTATGAGAAGAATCATATGTAAAATTGCCACAAAATCTTTTTTAAGTGCCTCAATTTCCAAAATACGTGCACATTTTGTAATATCCTCAACCATTTAAAGTCCATCTTGCCTTTATCTTTGCCTGTAGGCTGGTGTTTTCACAAAATGTAAATGGTACTGAGCCCCAGGTCACAGTTTAAGTCTTCAGGCAAAATAAATGTAACATGCCTCAGGGCAAAGTCAATATACTGTAAAAGCATTCAGTGCTAAATAGGCATTATTTTGTAAGGAAACGTTATTTTAGTATCATTATTATTGTTTTAGAATTAAATTGAGGCTGTCATAAAGATTTTGTACATAATAATTGTTTGAATTTATATTTTTCCATGTTTGACAAATCTATTTTTCATGTGTGAACTTGATGTCTATTGTTAATTTGAATAATAATAAACTAATTTTATGAGTCTGAATACAGCTGTCCCCTGTCTTAAAGGTCATATACAGTAAAACACCCTCATCATATGACTCACTGTGGCCAGACCGTTGTCTGGAAACCGATATGACACAGCAGGTGGGAAACGCTCTCCTGATCATTTATATTATACATTAAATGTCTTTTTACCTCTCTCATGGCATTGATAAATAGTATTTCTTGCAAATTTGTAACCCTATTTTTGTAGACTCTCCTTTTGCATAAATATTTCTTAGACTGTCTCTATCTACTGATTCGATATATTATTCTCAGTGAGACGATACATGGTCGCCATTCTGAAGGTCTCCACATAATGTCTGTTCATATCCACAAGAGGGCACAATGTAACACTGCAGGGATGTTACCGCCCTGCACCACCGCCACCAACACACACTTAGTCCATGCGGTTAAATCACACACACTTACTGACACTGACTATAGAGTCAATGCAGTTAAGCATCAAGGGCAATGTTAAGCCATCATAACATCCGCTACATCAATAATATGACCCTCCAGCTCAACCCACAGGAAGCACTTTACAACTCCACTTCCTGTGCATGTGATAATGCTGAAGAAGCGAGAGTGCTTTACTGAATTAAAGCATTTAAGGAATGTACTAAGTTGATAGTTTTGTAGTGCATGGATTCTCAAATTGTGCATCACAAATATTTGCTGGAAGTTCTGGGAAACCTACGTTCCTAACATAATGGAACAGACCGTGTGTGTTAGTTTACTCAATTACAACAGTACACAGACAAGTGCATGCATTATTACGTATTATGTAATTTTTTTTTTTTTTTTTTTTATCTATTTGAATGCATTTTAAATTATCGTTTTGTTCCTACATTTCATCAGCCACTACTCCAGTCTTCAGTGTCACATGATCCTTCAGAAATCATTCTAATATTGTGATTTGATGCTCAAGGAACATTTCTTATTATTATCATCAATGTTGTGCTGCTTAATATTTCTGTGGAAACCATGATACTATTATTCAGGATTCTTTGTTGACTAGAAAAAGAACAGAATTTATTTGAAATAAAAACCTTTGCTACATTATACATATCTTTACTGTCACTTTTGATCAATTTAATGTGTCCTTGCAAACGTATAAAAAAAAATCTTGCTGACCCCAAACTTTTGAACAGCAGTGTACATTACCAAAGGAGTACGTCTGCAATCAAAAGTCAGTGATTTAACTAGGAACTCAAATATTCCTCATCAAATACTTCTAAATTATCTGAGCTATGCTTATCAGATTAATTTCATAGCTGAACTGCACATCAATATTGATCTGTATTTATTTATATCTCTCCTACTCTTCAAAATACAGGTTCTTTATTGTCATTTATGGTTCAATGAAGAACCTTTAACATCCATTGAACCTTTCCATTGCACAGAAGGTTCTTTATAGTGGAACAAGGTTCTTTAGACTATTAAACTGTCCTTCCCAGTCAGAAAAAAATGGTTCTTTTAAGAACTGTTCACTGAAATAGTTCTTTGGGGATCCAAAAATGGTTCTTATATGGCATCACTGTGGAAAACCCCCTTTTAAGAACCTTTATTTTTAAGGAATTTACCCAGACAAATTTAATTCAGTTTTACATAACTTGACAACTTAAAATCTGAGGTAATTTTCAAGGGGGGAAAGAGAGAGCCCATTCAAAATCTATTGTCTTCTAAATTGGAAGACTGAAGTGTAGACTTCAAGAGGTAAAAGAGGCATTTTTAAAAGATATTTGTGTTTTTTGACCATACAATGAAAGTCAGTGGCTTCCAGTACGTTTTCACTGTATGGACAAAAATAGCTGAATAGTTGAACATTTTGATCGCCCCGATCTTGATACCGCGGCTCCACCTGAGGATCACTACTGCGCACACTCAGGCTCCATATGACGTAATTGGCAGCAGCCATTTCTGGGATTTTGGTTTCATTTTTCTACAGTGGAAGGGTTGAAATATTCTTCAAAATATCTTTATTTTGTGGGTTCCACAGAAGAAGAAGAAAATAACACAGTAAATAAATAACTGAATTTTCATTTTTGGGTGAACTATCCCTTTAAGACGATGTCAAGTCAAGTCACCTTTAGGCTAGTGCTTTATACAATACAGATTGTTTTAAAGCAGCTTTACAGAGATAAACTGTCACGTTCACACTTAGGAAAAGGAGAACTCAAGTGCAAAACAAGGAAGGTTTATTTACAAAAACAGAACAAACACAAATCAAAAACCCACAAGGGGGAAAACATAATAAATGAACATGAAACAAACACTGGGTCAAGAATACAGGGAACACCAACCAGGAACAGAGAAACATCTGACAATAACAACGAACCGACCAAGACTGCAAACATGAGGAGACTTATAAAGGGAACAAATCAAGAGGGAACAGGTGGGGAAACTCAAACACTAATCAGGTAACGAGCGGGAGGGATCAAACAATGACAGAGGCACATGGCCCAACATAACAACCACCCATGTGCAACAAGACAGGACAGACATGTGACATAAACATGGAAATACTTATTCAGTGATGGAAACAGATTTCAATTCTGCTGTAAACAGTCATTATTCAGTTGAAATCAGTTCAGTGTTGATTCAGTTTGGTTCAATAACTGTAAAAGATCATTAATTATGGAAAGAGTTTCAATCGTCTATAAAGAAGCTCTGGAGAAAACAGTGATGTCACCATCCAGCTCAGTTCAGTTCTAATCCAATAGTGTTAGTGCAGGCAAATCAATAATATTACAGAATATTAAGTGTCACCAATGTTCCCTCATAATGTAAGTGTATACTTGCTATATACCTTATGAGTGCTTTTTTATTATTATTGAAAAAACACACCATGTATGGTACACCTCTCTTGTAAATGTGTTAAAGCATTTTCATATTGTTCATGCACCAGACTGCGTGGTACCAATGCGGTAAGCTGTTTAGTTTACTTTTAAGAACACCTGAGATGTGTCATACGGCACACAGACGCCACAAAGTTCATTACGATCTCCTCTCTGAGTCACACACAGATATGAGGTTAATCTGTGGGAGTGTGTTTTGCTGTCTTGAGGTATACGAGAGCAGCAGAGAGGGAGGAGATGCAGTGCACTATGGGTCGTCTCAGCATACGGCCGGAGGAGGTCTTCACAGCCCTCGGCAGACAGGGCTCTGGTGGGTTGCTAGGAGACCAGCCCGGCGCCTATATTAGATCTAATTTATTAAATTCCCCCTTCTCTCACGCCGATTTCTCACCATCTCTCTCTCTCTCTCTCTCTCTCTCTCTCTCTCTCTCTCTCTCTCTCTCTCTCTCTCTCTCTCTCTCTCTCTCTCTCTCTCTCTCTCTCTCTCTCTCTCTCTCTCTCTCTCTCTCTCTCTCTGCATAGGCACCATACACACAAAACCGCAATAGTGTTACAGCGCCATGATGCACAAATTCACATGATGACACCACTTCCACAAGGTTTTAGAGTAAGACTTATTGTAAACTATACATTTGTATTTATAATAGTAGTTAGATTGAGATCTAGACTGTGACATGGCCAATTCATCATTGTTGTTTGTAAAGTTGGTATGAAATGGATATTCAGTCTGTTTTCTAAATGCATGTTCTCGATCTTTTTTGCGAACGATTCATCCGTTTCATTTTTTATTTATTTTTATTTGACTGCATCATTTTTAATCAGAATGTCTTAGCTCAATCCCTGATGCCGGATTTCTCGAATCATTTAGTCTGCTTAAAGGGGTCATATAATGCCATTTTTGTACAAGCTAATATGATTCTTTAGGGTCTAAATTAAAAGTTTGTAATATACTTTAATTAAAAATTCTCATTAGTATTGTAAGAAAACACTTATTTTACCTGGTCAAAAACAGCTCTGTTTTCAGCACGCCGTTTCAGTGCATATGCCTTTAAATGATCATGAGCTGCGCTCACTCCGCCCCTCTGTTCTGTGCATACACCGTTTGTAACACAATAACACAATAACCATAACGCGTTGTTCAGTATAAACGTGGAATTATGAATTATATTGAGAACGTCATACATAGAAAACATGCCGTAATGTACCCTGACTGAGTGTAAACCT